GACCGAGAGAGAGAGAGAGAGAGAGAGAGAGAGAGAGAGAGAGAGAAAGAGAGCGAGAGAGAGAGAGCGAGAGAGAGAGAGAGAGAGAGAGAGAGAGAGAGAGAGAGAGAGAGAGAGAGAGAGACTTCTGACAGAATGATACGAGAAGAATACAGTCAACGATCAGACACGCAAATAGAATATCCGCAGGGGCGAAGGGTGATGGGGTGAAAAAATGGACTGACGTACAGACGAACAGACAAAAAGAGAGAGTAAAGCGGAGTGTGGTATGAAGAAAACGACAGCAGGACTGACTGACATGAAGGAAAGAGTGAATAGGAGCAGCGTTATAAAGCAAACAGCAGATTTTAGAGTTAGGACCTCCAAATTGAGCGTCCATTTCCGATATGGAAGAGCCGAAGGGGCAATTTTAATTCGTGTAAAGTGCTTTCCACAAGGATAAAAAGAATCAAAAACAATGTCGGGCGAGGCTTAGCTTCGCAGCACAAAGTGTCACCATTACGACTCCGTCAGCCATTACCTATTGACTACCAACGCCACCCAATCAACCTATATCAACGATACGTACTGTACTGAGATGAATGTCAATACCTCTCCATTTTGCAAAACATTGAAAAACTCTTGAGCGACGCTCATAAGTGATGTCTTTGTGTTAGTGTGAATATGAGTAGAGTGTGCGTGTAAATGAGTATATTATGAGGGTTATCGAGTGCAAAGTGCAAGGGTGATTGTGGGTGTTTAATGTTTGTGTGTGTGTGTGTGGGGGTGTGAGTGTGTTTTTGTGTTTGTGTGTGCATGTGTGTGTGTGCGCAGGCGTGTATGTATGTATGTGTGTGTGTGTGTGTGTGTGTGTGTGTGTGTGTGTGTGTGTGTGTGTGAAAAGGGGGAGGGGGTGCAGCAGGGGTTACGTTTTGTTCGTTTTGGCTCTTTCCTATAGATTTTTTTGTCTCAAAGTAAAAAAAAAAAAGTCTTTTGCCGAAATTAATAACCCTGCCAATTGAACAATAACCAGTTGGTGGTTGGCGGGTGCTTTCGTGTTTTTTGCTTCTTCTTTCCTATTAAACACCTATCATCATTATCTCCCCTTCTCCTTTTTTATGCTTGTTACTCTCTTGTAACACCTCTAATCCTCTGGTTCTCATTAGACCTTATTATGCAGTTGCGAGCGCCGTAAAACCTCTAGTAAAACTAAAACTAAAAACAATAACCATAAATGCCCACCTGTGCTCATTCAGAAAAGCTCTGAACTGTTTTTTGGACTGGAAAATGGTGGAGATGTCGTTTCTGACAGGCCAGTCGGAGAGTTGGTCCAGCGCCTGGTCAGTAAGCAGATACTCGTTCATGAGGAACGTCTTCGTCTCCGGCCCCAGGATGGACAAATACAGCACGGACATGTCACGTTCTCGCTGGATCCGATCGAGGAACATGCCGATCTCCACGCTGAACTTGACGGCATACTGCGTCTGAGGGGTTGTTGGTTGGTGAAAGAGTGAGTACTGTGTCTGTGGGGTTGTTTGTTGGTGAAAGAGTGAGTGCTGTGTCTGAGGGGTTGTTGGTTGGTGAAAGAGTGAGTACTGTATCTGTGGGGTTGTTGGCTGGTGAAAGAGTGAGTACTCAACTGTGGTTGATGGTGTTGTTGCAGGTCGGTGTATAACGGTAACATGCCCACACAAACTTTATGCACTACTCACATACAAATGCTTGCGTACACACAAAAAGTACGCGCATACGCATACAGGTGTAGAGAGAAAGAGAGAATGGATACACACACACACACACACACACAC